GGGGGTGGGAGGGGCTTTTTTGGGGTGGGAGGGGCTTCTGGAGGAGGGAATTTTGGGGGAGGGAATTTTAGGGGGTTTTGGGGTGAGGGGATTTTGGGGGGTTCCAAGTTTGGGGGCGGGGCTTTCTCGTTTAGGGGGCGTGGCTTCCGGTGTTGGGGTGATTTTGGGGGCGGTTTGGCGTTCTCAAAGGGGAGGGGCTTCATCTTGAGGGGGCGTGGCTTCCAGTTTCGGGATGCTTTTGGGGTCCTCCTGGGGCGGGGCCTCTTCATTTTGGGGGTGTGGCCTCCAATTTTGGGGGTGAGGGGAATCCCGGGGGGGCGTGGCTTGTTGCGGAGTGGGCGTGTCCCCCTGACCGAAGCCCCGCCCCCTCAGACCGGCTGAGCCGCGACTCCATTGGTCGGATCCAGCGCAGCCTCCTCCTGCTGAGCCTCGATTCGCCGGTGCTGAGCGGGGGGCGTGGCCAAGGGGGCGTGGCCGCCCAGGTCCTGCACGGGGGCGGAGCCTGCGCCAACAGCGCCAACCGCTGGTTCGACAAGACGCTGCAGGTGGGCGGGGCCTCGGCGGGAAGGGGCGTGGCTTTGGGATGAGGGGGCGTGGCTCGTCCTGGTGGCCAAAAAAGGAGCGTGGCTTGAGATTTTTGGGCTGGATTTTCGTGGGTTTTGGGGCTGCAAATTTGGGGCTGGAAATCCTCTTTTAGGGCTGGAAATTTGGGGCTGAAAGTTCTGGTTTTGGTGCAGGAAAAATTCCATTTTGGGGCTGGAAGAATCCCGTTTTGGGGCTGGAAAAATTCTGTTGTGGGGCTGGAAATCCTGGTTTTGGTGCTGGAAAAATCCCGGTTTGGGGCTGGGAATCTTGGTTTTGGTGCTGGAAAATTTCCATTTTGGGGCTGGGAAAAATCCCATTTTGGAGCTGGAAATCCTCTTTTGGGACTGGAAATTTGGGGCTGGAAATCCTGGTTTTCGTGCTGGGAAAAATCTCATTTTGGGGCTGGAAATCTGGGTCGGGAAATCCTCTTTTAGGACTGGAAATTTGGGGCTGGAAATCCTCTTTTGGAGCTGGAAATGTGGGTCTGTAGATCCCATTTAGGGGCTGGAAATTTGGGGCTGGAAATCCTGGTTTTGGTGCTGGAAAAATCCCGTTTTGGGGCTGGAAATCTAGTTTTGAGACTGGAAATTTGGGGCTGGAAATGCTGTTTTGGGGCTGGAAAAATCCCATTTTGAGGCTGGAAATTTGGGGCTGGAAATCCCTTTTTGAGGTTGAAAAAAATCCTCTTTTGGGGCTGGAAATTTGGGGCTGGAAATCCCATTTTGGAGCTGGAAATTTGGGGCTCAAAATCCCCATTTTGAGGCCGAAAAAATCCCATTTTGGCGCCAAAAACCTCATTTTCCGTGACTCCAAAACACGGGACTCCCTGTTTCGGGGACGCCCCCGTTTTTTGGGATCCCTGGGGTGTCACCAGGGGGATTTCCCGATTTTAACCATCCCTGGACCCCCCCAAAACCAGCTGGTGGTGGGTGAGGACGGGACGTGCGGCGCCGTGTTCGACCCGGCCGTGATCGACGGCCCCGCGGTGGCCGAGATGCTCGACCACGCCCTGGAGCACAGGTGAGACC